TTTCTTGATTTTAATCGTTCTGACGGGTCCCTTTTGGTACCGTCACACAACTTTTTTGTACCGTCCCAAGACTTCCTGGTACTGTCCCAAGACTTCTATGTACTGTCCCAAGACTCTCTCGTGCTGTCCCAAGACTTTTCTGAACTGTCCCAAGACTTCCTCGTGCTGTCCCAAGACTGTACTGTCACAAGACTGCACTGTCCCAAGACCACTGTCCCAAGACCACTGTCCCAAGACTGCACTGTCCCAAGACTTACGTCCCAAGACTGCACTGTCCCAAGACTACCGTCCCAAGACTACTGTCCCAAGACTGTACTGTCCCAAGACCACTCTCCCAAGACCGCACTATCCCAAGACTGCTGTCCCAAGACTACTGTCCGAAGACTGCGCCGTCCCAAGACTACTGTCCCAAGACTGTACTGTCCCAAGACCACTGTCCCAAGACCGCACTGTCCCAAGACCACTGTCCCAAGACCACTGACAAAGATCGAGGCCGCACTGTCCCAAGACCGCACTGTCCCAAGACTCTTCGGTACTGTCCCAGGACTTCTCTACCAAGTGTTGGGATAGTGGGAACTCTTCTCTTTCGTTGTCGGGACTCTTGAACCACTGTACCTGGTACCACCACTTGAGCTCTAGTAAAAAAAAATCCAAAAAACCCAATCTTACTGGCCAAAAGTTAGAATTACCAACCCCCCTGTGTTTATCTCCCTTTCAATATTTTGATGCAAGTTGAAACCCAACTTGTTCGGGGGTGTCTTGTGATCACCTGTTTGTTCAAAACCGATTAAAATTATTTACCAAAAACGTGAATTTTTAAACAGGGAAAAATTCATAAAAACAGAAAGATAAACCCATCTAAAAATCAAAGGTGACTTATGTCAACCTTTTAATAGAAAAAACGTCTGGTACCTGATTGCCACGCGTTTCCCCCCCCCCCCTGCTAGCAATCTTGTGGGGTATCACAAAAACCGTCTACTTCTGTTCCCCCCACCCAATCCGACCAAGGTACCTACCTTAATTCGATCTTAAATTTGGATATCCGCTTCTTATAATCAACGCGTGTAAGATTCTAATGTAAATAATTCGACGATGTCGATCAATTAGTTACTCTAATGTGTCCCCCTTTTTACAATTTACAACCGCCAACCTCTAACCTAACCAGCCCCCCTTCTAACCTCCCCCCTCTTTAGTCCCCTTCTTAAGCCGAAAATTACCTTAAGCGCCGGGTGCTAAACCCCTTGAGAAAAAACTGTAGAACATGTTTCCAGGCTCTGCTTGAGTAAAAACGTTCCTCAAAGCAGTGGGGTTCCGCGTATCCAATTTTACACTTATCTCCTATAATGTAATATGGATTTTAACGATAACCGTTTGACCAACTTGAGAACACCCGCGTCCTCTCTTGTTGTTCTGATTCCGTGCTGGTTGTCTCCTTGACGTGTCCTGCACCTGATCACCAGCACCACTTTCCCACTTGGCTGGTCACTTGTTCCAGACAAGTCTCCTAATGGTCCAGCTAATTCCCTGTGAACCACTTTCCTACTCGACTGGTCACCTCTTCCAGTTAAGTCTCCTAGTGGTCCAGCTAAGTTGCAAGCTATCTGAAAACCCTTAACAACGCCCCACACTCGGGCACCCTATTTAATGCTGAATTGATCAAAACGATCGTATTAAAAAAAATGGGTATACTATTTAATTAATATAAAGGTTTGATCCAACTAATCTGGTGCCAAAGTTACTGTCATTTTTTTTTGTTTTATGGTTTTTGTTCCTTTTTCCATTCTTTTTTCGTTTTTTTGTTTCGCTTTTTGTCTTTTGCTCGTTTTTTGGTCCCCCTAGTTACCCCCCTTACTCGGTTAGCTAAAGCTCGTTCGGAGAGCGTACCAGGAAGTTTTCTCGAGTTTTCTTAAAAAGCTATCACGGTACAACCGGAAGGTTTACACGTTGCCGCTGAGCCGTACCACCGGTACTCTAGAATGGGCATGTAGCCCGGAGCTGTGTCAAGTGGGTTCGACTCCGTAGTCATGATGTCATGATGTATAAACACCCAGGAGCGCCATAAAAACACTATGTAACAGTCGCCTACTTCAATCACTTATGAGGTTAAAGAAAAATAGGCCCTATAACCATTGGCTCAAGAGTCAGGGACACTATCTCTTGTGTTTTTCTACCTCGAACCTCGGAGCCAATTCGGTTCACTTGCGACATGAGACTAAAAACCCGTTACAGCTTAAAGGCCACTGACAAAACACCCCCCCCCCCCACTCTAGAAATTAAGAACGTCCCCAGACTTAGGTCTCAAAATACCCGAAATACGCGAACGCCGTTAACAACAGGGTGGGAACAGTCCGTACAGTTTTTTTTTATTAGACAGTGGAACTTTGATCCATTTCAGATGGATCAACCTGAAACTCTCCTCACCTCAAGATAACAATCATAAAACACACTCAAGAAAACAAAATTGAGTACTCACAATTCGGCACACTCGAGAATTTGAGGTAACTAAATTAATACGCAACTTGAGAATAAATAGGGAATAAAGTTTGATTCAAAAAAATCTATTCGAACAGGTTCTAGCTTGAGGATTGAGTTTTTGGTCTGGACCATTGGGGGACTTCGATTGTCTACCTTTCAACTGAAGGCTCACTCTGGTCCAACTGAATATCGATGTTCTTTAGCTCGCGATTACTTTCTGTCTCCTGTCGCGAATAAGACAGCTCTACTCTCTTCAAATTAAGTATCGGAAATTGCGAATAGGAATTTCCCGCTGCTAAATTTGACCACTTTCCCGCGATTATAATTCGGTCGTTATGATCTTGTTTTTCTGATATTTTCAGTTGTCGCGAGAAACTTGAGCATGACATGTCCATATCGAACTTTTGAAAAATTCCATTTGACTCCAAAATCATGTTATTCGCATTGCGCAAGGTCAAACTTCCAAATATGACCGACTGGCACATCTAGAAAATAAGAACGTTCCCATACTTAGATCTCGAAAAACTCAAAATACACGAACGCCGTTAAAAACAGTGTCGGAACCTTATGTATAGTTACTTTTTATTAGACAGTGGACCTTTGTTCCAATTCAGATGGATTAACCTAAAAACTCTCCCTAACTCAAAATAACAATGTAAAACACAATCAAGAAAATTAAATTTGTTACTCACATACCGACACAACCTCTAGAATTGAGTAACTAAACTATAAAGCAACTCTAGAATCGATGGATAATTAAGTTTAACTGGAAAAGTTTGTAATGAATTAGTTTTAGCTCAAGAAATAAGTTTTTGGTCTGGACCAATGGAGACTTCGGTTGTCCACCTTTCCACCGAAGATTCACTCTGGTCCACCTGAGTTTTACTCTCCTTTCACTCGCGATTATTTTCTGTCTCCTGCCACGAATAAGACAGCTCTACTCTCGTTCGAATTAAGTATGGGAAATTGCGAATAGCAATTTCCCGCTGCTATTTTTGACTACTTTACCGCGATTGTAGTTCGGATATTCTGATCTTATTTTCCTTATATTTCCAGTTGTCGCGAGAAACTTGAGTATGACATGCTAAGTTCGAGTTTTAGAAAAATTGCGTTTCACCCCAAAATCAAGACCAAACGTTTTTCTCAAGGTCAAACTTCCAAATATGACCGACTGGAACATTTTCTTCAAGTTTTGAAATTCTCAACCCTGTATTTGGGGCCCATGAGAGTAGTCTCAGAGGGTTGCGAACCTTGCCTCCAATTATGACTGCTCAAATCCTTGTAGTTTCCGAGATAGGACTTTTTTGTGATTTTTTCTAAAAGTTTTCAGATAATTTAAATAGTTTTTTGTTTTTAAAATTTGAAATTCCTTACCCTGTAGTTGGATGATATCAGGGTACTCTCAGAAGTTGCGAATCTTGATTCTAAATTTGATTGCTCAAATCCTTGTAGTTTTCATGATTTGACGTTTTTTGTGATTTTTAAAAATAAGTCAGAAAACTTAACAATTTTTTTTCTTCAAAATTTGAAATTCCCAGCTCTGTAAATGGGGGCTATGAGATTACTCTCAGGGGGTTGGCTCACCTCCAATTGTGACTGCTCAAATCCTTGTAGTTTCCGAAATAGGACGTTTTTTGTGATTTTCAAAATTTTTTAAAAAAATTTGGTTAACTTTTTCAAAAATTGAAATTCCGTACCCTGTAGTTGGATGATGTCAGGGTACTCTCAGGGGTTGCGAATCTTGATTCTAAATTTGATTGCTCAAATCCTTGTAGTTTTCATGATTTGACGTTTTTTGTGATTTTTAAAAATAAGTCAGAAAACTTAACAATTTTTTTTCTTCAAAATTTGAAATTCCCAGCTCTGTAAATGGGGGCTATGAGATTACTCTCAGGGGGTTGGCTCACCTCCAATTGTGACTGCTCAAATCCTTGTAGTTTCCGAAATAGGACGTTTTTTGTGATTTTCAAAATTTTTTAAAAAAATTTGGTTAACTTTTTCAAAAATTGAAATTCCGTACCCTGTAGTTGGATGATGTCAGGGTATTCTCAGGGGTTGCGAATCTTACTTCCAATTATAACTGTTCAAATACTTGCAGTTTTCGAGATGTGAGGTTTTTAAAAGTTTTCAGCTATGATTTTTTAAAAAGTTTTCAGCTAACTTAGATTTGGAAAAGTTCACTAAATTTAAATATCCCAACCTGTAAATGGGTGCTGCCAGGGTACACTCAGGAGTTGTAAATCTGGCCTCCATAAATGACTACTCAAATATTTGTACTTTTCGAGGTTTGACGGAAATTGGGTGCTGTCAGAGTACTATAAAAGCCTGTAGATCTGTTTTCCAATATATGCGGTTTTTCATGAGTTGTGAAAAATTCGAAGCACCGGAGGTGCGTTACACGCTAGTTTTTATGATTTTGTTGTATCGCAAATGGTGCGAAGCTTGGCTTCGCCTCTATCGTATGGGACTTTTATTGAAGTGTTCGTCTTCTTTTTTAGTTGCTTAAGTAAGTTCATTTCAGGTTGGCTTATGTCAATCATGGGCTTCCCGAATCAACCATTTCATTTTGAAAAAGTTCTCAATGAGTTATGGCCAGAAATTTTAACCTGGGATGTGGAAAATTTTCTCAGTGAACTGAAGTTTCCAATGACCATAAGAACTGGTCAGAAGCAGTCAATCTTTTCTCAAAAGGAATCTGAAGTATCAACTGTTGCTTCAGTTACCAAAACCGAATTCTTACGAAGATTTCATTCTAAAATATGTCTTCATGAGTGGTTTTATATAGATTATAAAAACGCTGAGTCCGTCTTTACCAAGGATATCACAGATCTTTTGGATTGGTACAAATTGAATCTTCCTGAAGCTGCAAATTATGTACGTTGAGCCGCACTACAATCGTGAGTTAGAAGTCTTTGTTTCATTTAGTTTACGGGCATTTTACTCAACATATGTTAAAGACGTTTCTATATATTTTTATTTGTTCTTTTTGTTGGTATATTTGAAGTTTGCATTTAAAATTTTCCTAGTGCCAACATTATCTGTCTATAGAAAATAAAGAACTCAGCACCTCTTTTTGTCCGTAACGTGAATAATTTTAAGACATGAACATGCGAAATTAGAAAAAGTCAATGTCCATTGAAATTGTTACGGGACATCAGTCTTGATGCATCAAGCTAAACACGATGTATCCGTTTTCTATGAAACGAATTTGTTCCTAGATAAAACAATAACGATGAATCAAAAGGCGTTGAGAGGGAAAAATGGGATGATGTTACTTCCCTCGCCCTTTGGTAAAATGAAGAGATCATAACACAGAAAGAAGAGAATATGCTCTCCAGGGTCAAAAAGTATCTGACTAAGGAGAAAATCAAAACTGTATCAATTGACAAATGTCAAGGATTCTGCTTGATAAAAATTGCGAGAGCAAGTGTCTTGTAATCGGGAACTTGACTTCGTTTTTCTCAGTAAACAACTTTTTTTCTTACAAATTAATAAAGTTATTTTTCTTCATTTTTGAACCATAGCATTTTCCAGGCATCTTCCCACTTTGTCTGGAGGTAATACGGCTGCCTTTGAACCCCAATGGTCTGGGTTTTGAGTCCCGATTGGACCTTGTTTTTATCATTGTATGAAATTGAATGTTTTCCCGGAAAAATTGAACAGTCGGACTCCTATAGTTTGTCGGCTTAGTTGCCCCGCCACTGATGTTTTTTGCGCTGTGAGCAGTTATTCGTAGAGTTAGGGTTTTTTTATCATTGCCCCATATTGCTGGCTAGATATTGAACGTTATCTTCCATCTTTCCGAATATAATTTCACTATCCAGTTTAGAGTGCTTTTTTAAATACCTGAATAGACTTTATCTTGAAGACGTTTGTAATGTTTTTTTTTGCTCAAGATATTTTTATGATAGTCTGCTAGAATTATTTCAAAAGTTCTAACTTATAAGTTCTTTTTTCGATTGCGGTTACGGGTAGATAGTTTAAGACTTTTTGTTTATCCTAGAGAGAACTTCGACAAAAGGAAAAGCGTATTCGGATCTGATAGTAACTTTCTTTAATACCATATGGTAAGGTGACGGAACTGCATTTAAGGCCGCAATTTTGAAAGCGATCCAAAGTTTTTTCCGGATTATTGTCACCAATGAGGGATTAAAAAGCAGTTGGAAATCTGTTATAGGTTGATAAACGTTTAGTGATGCAAGATGAATAATGCATGTCAATCTGGTTGTTTATTGCGTGGAGCTATGAAATTGAAAAGGTCAATTTTTGAAAGTGATGCCTACAAGCCAGGTTCGGTTGTAGTGTGAGCAGAGTGAGGTTCGCACTATTGTCTCAAATCAGTATGCTTTCCATACCTTGTTTTTCGCTGTTGGGAAGACAAAACTGCTCAAAACGATCCGGTATATCGAAATGGCGGTCATCGGTGGCAAAATGGCTCGAATGTTGTTTGGTTACTTCTGTTCAGAGGTCGTGTTATTTCCGAACGGGACGGTAAGACAGTTAGGTAGCTCTTTTGTCTTGTAGCAAGTGTAAAAAAGATGTGACGATCTAACTGTTTACCAGATTGAATTAATGTATGGTTTTCTCCCACATTTGCTGAGCTAATTGTTGATTTTCTGAGCGTACTTATTTGAGTTTTTGACTATCCTTCAGCTAAATTCAAATTCTAATGCGGTCACATGTGATGCAGTTGCTGCAGCGCGAGTGTTTGTTTGCTTTATACTGCATTTGAAGGCGTATGACTGTCAACAATCATAAGATCTTGGCCCTTTTGGGAGTTTCTCCGAGTATATGAGTTTTTTTCAGTTATTTGTTGAATTTAATAATGAGAGAATGATTGCACTTTTCCATATATATATTTAATTAAGATGTGCTTATTTAATACCATATTATCACTAAATGAAACACATTCCATCAGAATGTTGATCCAAGTTTTAAGTCCATTTTGAATGTGATTGTCTTATGTTTGCTTTGTTCCTTTATATCGCGGACCTAAATGATATCTCATTACTCTATTTACTTCTGATTACACTTTCATCATGTTTCTTCTTTCTAACCATTTCAGCTCGCTTTGCTTAGCTTAACTTAAATAAACACCTTGCAGGTCATTCAAGAAGGATTCTTTGTTTTTTTACGAGCTCTCGAGCTGAACAGGGAAATTGGTAAGTGTTTTCTTTTTCGAAGACGTGAAAAAAGAATACCATTTCTACTTTTCAGCGTCTCAAGCAATAAATTAGGCATATTGATATACGTTTGCTTTAGAAATTAAACTAGGATGGACATAGACAACATAACTGTTGTTCATTTTCCAGTCAACGCTGAAGCATAATTTATCCAATGATTGGTTCTTTACCAGTACTCTTTACAATGTACTGGTTGAAATCTTGCAGGGAGTTTTTTTTTCCACGTTTTGCGAACTAATACAATCTAATATATAACTGGAATTGGCTCAGTTCATTCTGTGATAGCTTGCCTCAGACATTTTTTCTTTGGGATACATCAGGCCATTCAGGCAAATGGAATAACAGAAAAATAGATCATAAGATAAACAATTCTTGAAAAATATATTGTTTGTTTTGATGATACAACTACCCTACTCCGGCTCCGATAAGCTTGCTTCTGATACATGCTTATTTAATAGGACCGGATCAATCCTGCTTAACATGTTCAGAAGTAGTCAAAACTTCGAAGATATTTTAATTTTACCGATATCAACTCTTGCTTGAACATTTGAAAATATTACGGTTAACAAGCTTGAATATGGCGAGATATGTGTCAAACGCATTTAAGTAGTTGACTTTTAATTTAATCAATTTTTGTATCAAAATACAGTAAAATGGTTCATTTTTTAATCTCTTGAATAGCCCGGAACAAGCCAACTAATTGCGAATTAATTCAGGCCATTAAAAAAGCCATATGTCAAAGTTTCATTTACTGAAAGGCAAATCAGTTCAAGCTATCAACTAAAAATCAGATTCTGATGCTCTAGTCTCTTGCTTCCAAAAATGAAGCAAATTTCCACTTGTTTAATCCATTGAAACAAAATGCTTTAGTCTCATGACAGAATAGCTTGTTTTAACCTTCAACGAATCGATTTAGTCTGTCAAAGGAAACTGAATTGGTTCAAAAGTTTATTGCTCGAATTGTTTGCTTCCAAACACATTTTGCGAACCAATAAGAGCTATCAAAACAAATTGAATTGATTGCTTCAAAGGAAAACTAGTTTTATATTGCGAGTAGATTCAAAACAACCTAATTTATTTCACAGTTTCAATATTTGAAAAGGCTATTTCAACTCCTTGCGAAAGAATAGTTTAAACTTCTTGCGAACCAATTATACCTATCGAAGCAACTTTAAATATTTCAAATTTTTATAGCTAGTTAGTTCGTTGTACTAACAGAGTGACCAACTTATTATTCTAAAATCTGTGCTTCGTCAACCAACAGACATACTTGGGCAGACGTTCGTAACTGTTGTGTAAATATGGCTGATTTTTTTTGGTTTCTCGGAAGTTGTGATTGCGTAACAAATAATTTTCTGGTAATTCGGCAAATCTTAGATCGGAAAGTTAGATTTGAGATCATCTGTTGATTGTATGATTTTTTTCCAGGGGTTTCATCTTTTGTAGCTTTTGGTAGGGCATCGATTAAAGTTTCGAAGACAGCAAAGTCCATGGAATCTTAAAAAAGTTTTTTTTTACCTTAAACATGTCTTGCGAGATTGGGGATGTATAATGTTCATCTCTACGTTTGAACTTGTTCATGCAAATTATAAAATGAAACTGTTGATTATTTAGAAAGACGCCGCCTTCTGGCTGGGAACTGCTGGTGCTCATACCCCATGTCACTTTGACACTTATGGCTTCAATGTAGTGGTTCAGCTCAAGGGACACAAACGGTGGAAATTATTCTATCCTGGCCATGAGCTCACACCAACCAGGTTGCCATTCGAGGAAACTACCGTATATAGTCAGGTTCGTCTATACTGCTTTTTATCATTTTGCTGGAGCTTCCGCCTTTTTCGGCTTGTTAACCTTAAATACAAATGGACTATCCTCGACAGGACTGTTAAGGCCTACTGATAGCTCCTCTGCGATTCGCAGGAACTACAATTATAATTATTAAATACACAAAAGCTCATTTAATATGTTCCATACTTGACTTTACTTAGTAATACGAGTTCACTTTTGTGTGTTAGTGAACGTAGTGAAGCCGTGAAGTCATTTATATAGGACGTGATGGTTTGTTTCAAGAAAAAGCCACGCTCAATTTTTTTTTGGCGGTTTGTATGTGAAATTTTTATAGGTCAATTTAAGTTAGTTGCTCGCCACGAAAAAAAGACAGCGCGAAAATACCTGAATTACTTATTTGTTTATAAATTGGATTTTTGCTCTTGCGAGACCAAATGACTTGTAATCGGGAACTAGACTTTTTCCTCCTGAACAACCTCCTTTCAAATCTGTAAGATATTACCCTTGCTATAGGACAAATCCACTTGGTCTAGTGGTAAAGCGTGTGCAATCATAAGGTCTGGGATTCGAATGAAACTAAATAATTTTTCTGGTAAAACTTCATGAAATCTCATATTTTGTCTTTTGAAGAGCAAAATAGGTTTTTATGCTTTCGGAAGTTTCAGGAGGGGTGAGGTGTAAAAAGTGTGGGGCGTGTTCGAGCCTCAAAACATTGTGGTTCAAAAAATGACCCAATTAGATGCATATTCAGTGGGGTTCTTTTTGGTATAAAAAGTAGAAAGAGCAAAACAGGAGTGCATTTACGTTCAGTTTTAAGGCCCCGAATGGAATAAATTTTGGTATTTAGTTACGAATCGAAAAAAATGAGATAAACATGCTCCCTGGTAACTTGCTTTGTTCGAGGCAATGATCGCAAAGATAAAAATTGTTCTCTCGTTAATGAGGGTGTTAGAGTTTGTTCAATTGATCCGTATTTTTTCTTCTATTTCCTTCCGTTCATGACTCTTTTACAACTGCTTGTTGACTTTTCCTTAGGTTTTTGATTGTGAAATTTATAGCTTTATACAACGATATAATGACGATGGAAAAGCTTTAATGGAAAGGCTGTGCTTGTCCTGTTTTCTCTATTTTTATTGTTCCTTTTCTTCAGGTGGATGTGCGGAGGCCTTGTGGCAAGTGTTTTCCTTCCTCTAAGGGACTGAAGATGATAGTTGTGGATATGAGAGAGGGCGATGTGTTGTATGTGCCCAAACATTGGTGGCATTTCGTGGAGTGTATCGAAACTGCCGTCAATGTCAATCTGTGGTGTCCCCTACCATCTGACAAGGTCATTTGGGATTCATAAATCACTGTCTCTTACTGACATAAAATTAGATTTACAGTGTTTTTGTCGCGATTTTGTTTGTGTTTCCTGTTCTCTAGACACTGTCGTTCTTTGGATCTCGTTTTCAAATTTTTTTTACAATCAAGGCAAGCTCCGTGAGTAATAAGGAAAATGGAGCACAAAGATTCTCTGTGCTGTTACTTTTGATTTGGATTTCGTTATAAGAAAAATCTGCAACAATAAATGAGGCTTAAAATTATTCATGAGGGCTTTAGTTCTTAATTTGTTCAAACTGATTGTTTAGATTGATCAGCAGAAAGAAGCTCTGACAAAACTTCTGCTACGCAAATTTACCCTTGGCAGCGAAGAAAGCAACCTAATCCACTCGTCTGAAATTGAATCCTTTGCTAGTAATGAACAAGAGGAAATTGAACTTAACTTTTTGTCAAAATCCAAGAAAAATTTGGATCCAAAGACATTACAAGAAGAAGATGCTATAGTCTATAAGGATTTCATTGAGTTTCTTAAACGCAACCTGGAAACGAATCCGAATTGCAAGCGGCTAGAACCAAATATAGAATTGAAGACCTCGACTGATTGCTGTTGTTTGAATGATCAGTTAGATAAAAATCCTGTAAGTGCTTCAGATATTGCATTAAGACTTTTTATTTCGTCACTGTAAGTCGAGTTATCATTTTACGGTCATGAAATCACCAATTCTAGCATAGAAAATGTTTGAAATTTAAGAAACAGAAAGTGAATGACCTTGAGTAAATGTTTCAGTGGAAAAATGTTATCAACAGTGTTCTGCAGAATAATGTCCTGGAAGCTGCGCTCAAAAACTTGGTTGAGATATCTTGACGTTGAATAGTTTTTTATAAGAGATTAAATTTGTTTCCTCGTATGTTGATTACTGAATAACGCCTTATCTTTATAATGAAATTTGCAGGAGATTCGTCTTGTTTCCTCGTGTATTGATTTTTGCTTAACAGCATTGAATATGAGCTCGTGTATGCGAACCGGAGACAGCAAAAAGTGAGCATTCACTTCATGAAAATATGAATAAATTGGCTCGTTTCGAATGGTCATCTGATCAATAATAAACTTTCAGAGATGTTTTATGCAAGTGGTAATGGTTGCACGTTGAGATGTCAAAATGATGTCCCATTCAGGCAATTATTATCACCTCTCGAATCTACAAACTCTGCCAGAAAATTAAATATGGATTCAATTCCTGCGAAATTTATGTCAGAAGAAACGAAATTTAAAGTTAGATTTTTCGGATTAACTTTATGGAGCGATGACTGTATGAGGATAGTGTTAGTTGTGGAATCCACCGCCTCTCAAAATCAGTGGCGAGAACTTTCGATGTTTCTCGTTGATGATTTTACAAATAGCGGGCAAGTTGAACTTAATTTAACGGGATCAATAAGAATTAGTTCAAGTTCAAATGCATCGCTCGGTTCTCATATTACAGTGAACGGAAAAGTAGCGATAATTCCAGGAAGAAATAAAGTTTTGTTGTTGGATTTCGAAAACGAAACGGCTAAGTTACTGAAGTTACCTATAAACGACGATGAAGAAAAAGTATTACCAATTGTTCATGGGAGACAATTACTAATTTTGAAGCAAAGTAATGATTTTGTTAAAATTTTTGGCATTAAAAATATCGAAATAGTTAATTTTGATCCCAAAATTGCAATTGGGACGGAATTTGCCGGACATATCGCAGGTGTTTTCTTCCCATTTTGTTCACTGACTTGCAAAAACTTTACTTCAGATTTGAAAACAATCATATGCACTATGCTGGTACTTACCAAAAATGGACGGGCTATCAAGTTAAACAGCAAAGGAGTTTGCCTAGAAAGCAGTAATCTTGTAATCGGAGATTTAAACATTACGAAATTCAGTTTCCTACCTTCAGCAAATGTTGATTTTCTGTGTTTTCTGGACTATAACGGTAACCTGTACTGGCTTAATTTGGAGACATTGAAAATTGATTTAGTTATTGAAAATGTTCAGAACTTTTTTGTCGGAAACTATTTTCAAAGATTTTATCTACAGGTTTTGACTGTGCGTAAAACGGGAGAATTGACGTTAGTTGACGGAACTCGGCAAACCAAGTTCGAATTTTATTTCAAACCTATCAGTGAAAGAAATGATGAAAATTTGTCCTCTCAAAAACTTGTGAGCAAAACGATAATAAACCGAGCAGAAAATTTACAGATACTTTTGCAAAATCTTCGCATAAAGAATCTCTCTATTGTTTCTTATATTCAATCCGCGTGTTTGAAGTTCCACGAAAACAGTCAATGGGGAAATTTTTTAAAATGTGACACGACAAATGTTCTTGAAATGGAAGCATTTGGAAACGAAGAAAACATTGTTTGTGTTTTGAGACTCGCAAACTTTTCGGAAAAATTAGCGGAAGATTTGAAAAGTTCGTATGCGTGGTTAAATCTTGTGCCGAGCTCAAATTCTAAAAATAAGATTTCTGATTGCTTCAAAGTTAAGTTCCAAACTGATTCTGAAAATGGATTCGCTTTGATATCGTTTGCTTTGAAGAATTTAGAAGATCTTATTTCGTACGAATTTTTTGTAATTGTTACTTGTATTTCTTCGATTGAAAACGAATCATTCAAGAGCGTAGTTGTCGGGAAAATTTATTTGAATTGCGAGGATTTGTCCAACTTAAAATCTGCACCTGAAATCAAAATGCAAAATGTATCAATATTGCAATTGCTAAGAACAACCTTTGACATCCAAGTTTCTGATTGTCTTGTGGATTTTGATAAATTGTTTCAATCTTTTGTGGCCAAATATCAAATTGAGGAATTAGACGTTACTCCAAGTAAAAAGCTGTTCCGATTTACCTGTGAAGTTTTGTGTTCTTGTTTCTTTGTAGCTTCTGACTTATTATCATTTGATACAACTTTCAATGTCACTGTTAAAACCAGTCTGCAGAAAGATATTATTTGTCGTTTATTTAACGAACAGTTTGCAAAGTTTTGCTCATTAGAAATAAAATAGATCTGAATTGAAATGATGTGAAATAAATTGTTGTTACAAATTAGTGAGAAGGAACTATGGATCCGATTTTTTTTCACACCCAACAAATTGGTCTGATGGTGCCGGGTGATGTATCAGTGTAAAGGCAATTAACTTTCCCTGATGTCGAGTACGAAAAATGAGGTATCAGATTTTTAGACTATACCGCGAGTGTAGAGAGAGCAAATCTTTAGTTGAAACCTTTGTGGGAGCTAGTGTTATAAGTAACAGTTCCCTTTGTATTGTTCCCGTGTCTTATAAGTCTAGTTCCCATTTCTTGTAATCGAGAACTAGGCTTTTTACCATAATTGACAAAGGTGAGCTTGCAAGCGTAGTGTTATTATACGAGTACACTTAAATCCAGAACCGAACTCACATAAATCAGCGCTCCTTTTTGATAGCAGTTTTGCTGCATAGCATATCAATATAATAGGACGTGTTTTAGTTTTATTGGTCTCTAGTGTTTGAAGATATCAAGGGTCGGTGGAACAGTCGTAAAGACATTAGACTGTGCATCTCGAGGTCGACTCCGGTAGAGGTATGAAAGTAATCCGGACTTTGTGCTGCACACACCTCAACCAGCTATCCTTGTTTAATTTTTTATTTTATTCTCCTTTTTTCTTTTTTGCGTTTTACTTTTTTTGGCGTTTGTCGCTTCTGTTTGAAAAGTGAAGCTTCGCTTTGGTGTTAACTTTTTTAAACTCTAAGAACTTGACCTTCAACTATCTCATGACTCATTTGCTAAACTCTGTGAATTTGTCAATAACAGATATATATTGGGCATATCGGCCTTTTACATATTCTTTCCATTTCAATTTTTTTTGTATATTGGTTGGAAGTTCACTAACATAGATTTGGTTTATTAGGAGTCGATGAACGTAGTTCGGACTCTTATATAAGTCGCAATTTTTTGGTTTTTTTAAGAAAAATCCTAAAATTTGATGGCTCAATTTTACTTTTTCAGGGTTTGACTTTTGATTTCTCTTCAAGTTCAGTTCATTTTTTTTCGTTAAAAGGAAGGCAAACTCATCTATCAAATAGTGAAAGAGTAAAAGGAGCAAAAAACCTGATCGAATTTTAGTTTCTAAAGTGGGATTTATCAAATTTCCCAGCGAAATACAAATTTTACCTATTTTGTTTGATAACAAAATTTCGAGCTTGGTTCATTTTCATATCGTTTTAATAGCTTGTTTTAACAATGATTGTCAGCTACAACTTGCTTAACAATAGTTGTCAGTTAACAATAGTTGTCAAAAAAAATAAAACTTAAAATTTAATTTATAATTGTATAAGAAATTGTTGGCATCAATTTAAATTTTTTCGAAAATATTTAAAATTTTCTTAAGAAATTTAAATCTTTCTTCTGTCTGTTTTAAGCATTTTTTCTGCCAATTGGGAATGTGTTCTCCATCTGCAGTTAGCTTCAGTTTCCTTCTTGCACTCAACCTTCTGTACTCTCGCTGTGAGAGCTATTCAGTCTGGCTGATAAACCTATCATAGTCAACTTTTTCATTTGCTGCCTAATTTTGGCTTCAGGAAGAACTGAATGAATGTCTTCAGATCTTTGAGGGTATTCATTACAGATGTAGACGCTCGAACATCTGGATAGGAATGCACCCCTCCTTTCGTCATTATGATGGCTTCTTTGATTTTGCGCATCTAGTTGTTGATCGTTTTCTTCGAGTAGGACGACTCTCCTGCGTCAATTTCCTTCTCTCGTAGCTTGCTGAATTCCTCCAGCAATGGCACGAAATTTTCGTTCTTCCAAGTCAAATAGTGGCTTTCTATTTTGCCGGCATCTAGTTTCTCGGCCAAAGCCAGGATGGGGTCTGGGAGAATTTTCAGCCCCCGAATGGTAACCCACTCAGGCTCGTGCTTTCCAAACTTATTTTCTACCTTCTTTTTGACGCAATATTTATGCCGGAACTTTTTGTCACGCCGTAGATTTTCATGAGGTGACACTTTTGTTATAAGTTCACGATTTTCTTATCCGTCACAGAATGTGTTTTTGTAAAGTGCCGCATGAGGGATGCGCGCCACTTCAAGCTTTCCTCGCAAAGTTATTTTTGTTTTCCGCTGGTTGGTTGTCCGCCCTGATTTCGGTAAGTTACTTCGATACTCCCTCAAGCTCTCATTAGAATCAGCGCTGCTTGATGGCGATCGCCTTTGCTTCCATTGATTGGGGCGTCGATTTCTTAATTCCGTCGATGTTGGCTTGGGAATGGTCGTCTAGAGGAGTCGCTTCCGGATGTCACATCATATTCTCGGCGTTATCTTTTAGCTTTTGGTATTGACCTTCCTCCCACGTGTATACGAGGAAAGACTTGTCGGGAATAGGTGCATAATGATGTGCTTCCTCGATATGCTTCAATGAAGTACTTTTTGTTGCACCACACTAAGCATTCCTTGCTCTGGACGAAAGTCTGCACTTTGTTCCCTTGGTACATTTGGGTGACACCATCCCATCGCCGCACTGTCCTCAATCTGGTGTCCCACCATATCCTTGCAAAGTTCCATTGGAAAAGCGCAAAACAAATATGGGGCAACGGTCCGAACTCGGTTGCTCCTGCATGTTTCTCCTGTCTCGGTTCCTCCTGTCTGTCTGGTTTTGTCCTGTCTGTCTGGCTCCTCTTGTGGCTCCACCTCAGTGTATCGATGTTCCTGAAACAGAAGGACCTGTTTTTCTTGCCGGGGAAAACTAAACTTGGGAGCTCCCTCCTTATGGAGACGAAAATAATCGAAAACTGGTTCTGGCCGGTCTTCTGATGCTTCCAATTCTGTTTCACTGATGGTAAGACCCTCCGCTGCTGGCAGTTTAGATAGCGATACTGGCCGGTCTTCTGATGCTTGGACCGTCGCTTCTGCTTCAAGCGGGCTGCGATCCAGCTGCAATTCGGATCGGGCTGTGATCCAGCTGAAATTCGGATCGCTACATTTGCCGGTCTTGTGATGGTTGGACCTCCGCTTCTGCTTCGAGCGGGCTGCGATCCAGCTGCAATTCGGATTGCAACACTGGCTGGATTCTTATGCTTCAGAGTTCTTTTCACTGATGGCAAGACCCTCCGCTATCCGGGTCGCGTCACTAGCGCCGGAGGCGCTGGTGCAGGCGATGGCAATGGAGTTGGCATCTCGATGCCAGGAAATTGCGCCATTCTCCATGGCACTTACGTGTACCCGTAATCGTAGCAGAGCTCCTGGTCTTTTGGAACATCTTTGATAGTTTTGAAGGCAATACGGCTGATGGCATTGTAAATGATCCGCTTCACAACTACATTCGGATCCACGTCGTTGTCTTTCATATAACGAGCCTTTCTACTATTGAGTGGGTCACTTGCATCAAGAAACAGGTTATGGCCATCAGTGAAACAGTACGGATTCTTCCCTGCTGATCTCATTTTTTCGTAATCGTTTTTCGGCAACGACTTCCCCGGTAGACACACACGAACTCCCCGGCCTCTAGATTCCTCCTCGCGAAGAGCCCTCGTCCGCTATCTGGGCTCCTCTTGTTACTTCATCCTGTCCTCCATCTGGGAGTATCGGTTTCTCATGTCTCTCCCTCCTGTCCTCCATCTGGGCTTCTCGGTTCCTCCTGTCTGTCTGGTTCCTCCGGTCTGTCTGGCTCCTCTTGTGGCTCAACCTGTGTCTGTAAATGTTCCTGAAACAGAAGGACCTCGGTAGTTTTTCTTGCCGGGGAAAAGTAAACTTGGGAGCTCCCTCCTTATGGAGACGAAAATAATCGAAAACTGGTTCTGGCCGGTCTTCTGATGCTTCCAATTCTGTTTCACTGATGGCACGACCCTCCGCTGCTGACAATTTGGATAGCGACACTGGCCGGTCTTCTGATGCTTGGACCTTTGCTTCTGCTTCAAGCGGGCTGCGATCCAGCTGCAATTCGGATCGGACTGTGATCCAGCTGAAATTCGGATCGCTACATTGGCCGGTCTTGTGATGGTTGGACCTCCGCTTCTGCTTCGAGCGGGCTGCGATCCAGCTGCAGTTCGGATTGCAACACTGGCCGGATTCTTATGCTTCAGAGTTCTTTTCACCGATGGCAAGACCCTCCGCTTCTCGCTATCCGAATCGCGACACTAGCGCCGGAGGCGCTGGTGCAGGCGATGGCAATGGAGTTGGCATCTCGATGCCAGGAAATTGCGCCACTCTCCATGGCACTAACGTGTACCCGTAATCGTAGCAGAGCTCCTGGTCTTTTGGCACATCTTTGTTAGTTTTGAAGGCAATACGGCTGATGGCATTGTAAATGACCCGCTTCACAACTACATTCGGATCCACGTTGTTGTCTTTCATATAACGAGCCTTTCTACTATTGAGTGGGTCACTTGCATCAACAAACAGTTTA